AGGCACCCTTGTTGCCTGGCGCCGTGTTGCTAGTAACGCTAGCGGTAGTAACCGCTGTTACTACCGTAACAATCCTGTTGCGTCACCGTTACGTTACCGTGCGGTGGAGGGGGAGGGGATCGCTGACTCACCCGCCGCGTCACTGCTGGTGGGGGGGGGTCTCCTTTGTGCAACATGTCACAATATATATATATAAAACATTCGGCCAACACAGGGTGCTACTTGCTGTAGATATATATAATATTCGTCCTTTAAAGATTAAATACCTTTACCCTGATAATGGAGGTAGTCAGGTTGTTCCTATGAAATGGTGCCTTTCCACCAGGCTGCATGATGCCACATTCTAGAAGGCAGTAATCCACTTTATTGCCATGAGAATATGAGATTCACCAAGAGTCATGTTAACGGCCATACCTTATTTTTCTACTAGAATTTGTAACCTGTGTTGTTTATAATTGCAGGTGCTGATTCAGTGCTGAAGTTGTTGGAAGCAGTAGACAGCCACATACCAACACCAGTAAGAGATCTTGATAAACCATTTCTTCTTCCAGTCGAACATGTATATTCTATAGCAGGTGGGTTATGACAATCAGTTGCCAGTTGTTACCGCTCTCATTTCCTTTCCTTTATTTTCCATATATCCATACAGGCAAAAATCCTAGGATGTGGAAATAGTCCATTTGATTATAGATGTATACATGTAATAGATTACAAAAGTCACACAACTAAAATAACACACACCAGTTAACTAACATAGGTAATATAAAAAGAAACAAAACAAGAGCTTATTACAATTGTAACTAAACATAATTTAAAAAGTGCATTACTATAAAAACTTAAAATTAATATAATTTTCCCATAAATCAAAATACATTGATACAGGACTCGTCATATACATACATACACATCCTCCACTTTCCATAAACATCCATACAGGGAACAAACCCAGGATGTGGAATTAGTCATCAAACACATACACAAAGTCACACAAGTCACACCGCGAAGATCACCCACATTAATTATCTAGCACATACAACAATACAAGGCAAAAAAAGTAAACAAACATAAGTCACAAGTAGCCACAATACAACTCCTCACATCACCCTTACCAACTATATTAAAATGTGGCGTTAAGCATTCAAATTTATGTGCCTTTGTAATTAAAATACTCATTTAATGTATAAAAAGAGTTAGCATGTAAAAATCTTTTTAGGGAACGTTCAAAGGATTTCTGGTTATTAGATAATTGTTTCAGCTCTTTAGGCAGATGATTGTAGATTTTTATACCAGAATAATATGGACCCTTTTGAACTTTAGTAAGAGAAGTACTCGGGGGAAATAGGTTAACATTTTGTCTGGTACCAATATTATGAACCTCCGTATTTCTTGTGAACAAATGCATGTTATTTATAGTGTGTTGCATTAAGGAATATATGTATTGCGAACACAAAGGCAGAATTTTCATTTCCTTGAAAGAGTCTCTACATGAATCTCTTTTCTTTAATCCCATCATAATCCTTATAATTTTCTTTTGGATCATAAAAAGTTTCGTCATGTATGAAGAATTGCCCCAGAAGATAATTCCATATGTCATCACAGAATGTATATAAGCAAAATAAATCATTCTTAAGCTACTTAATGATATCATAGGCTTAACTGATCTCATGAGAAAGCAAGACGAACTCAATTTTGTAACCAGGTAATCAATATGATACTTCCAACACAGCCTATTATCAATATTTAGGCCTAAAAATTTAATACACTCTAAGTTAGTTGGTAAATTTTGATCAATATTATTATGCATATTATGATCCTCATAGTTCATTAAAGTGAAATGGAGAGTGTGGGTTTTATGAATATTTAATTTTAGCAGATTGGTTCTGAACCATGTATTAATATTGTAAAATATTCTGGTCATGTCTCCCCCCCCACCCAGAAATCTCCTTAATGTCCCAGACTTTCTGACTTTAATGATTTTTGTTTTGTTACCCTGAAACATTAACAAATGTAATATTCTTTAAAGTCAGGATTATATAAATCCCATGAAAGAAGCATGTAAAGATGTGAATGTATAGGAAGACCCAGTTTCTTCTGAGATGGAACAGAATTTTTGAAAAAATTTGTAGATGCTCAACTATTTTTGAATATCAGTATTACATTAACTACCATGATACACTTACCCACATCCATATGCAAATAAAATTTTGGTTCCACAAGTTATGCAGGAATTTAAACTTCCAGAAAGAACGACTGTTTTTCTCCCTCTCTCAGTACGTTCACATTCCACTGAGTCATCATTTAAGCATTGTCACTGAGAATGCATGCAGAGTTATGAGTATCTAGCACATCATTTCCAATTTATTATTCACTTATACTCTGTTTTGATGCCATGTAACCTGAGCCATTGAAGGCATGGTTAAGTAAGAGATGAGTGAGTGAGGATCATCGCAGTAATTTGTTGAGGAAGTGATTTATTAAGCTCTGCAAATACTTCCAGACAGAGTAACCTTAATATGTGGACTTGTGGGGTGATACATGGAGCAAATGATAAGTTTTGTCTTGCAGAGGCTGTAATTCACAGCATGTGGATATTAAGTGAAGCTTACATTCATTTGGATACAGATGTCAGGAGACAAAATGTTTGATTCTGCTATGTGGGCCCATAGAATAGATGGAATATTCTTCTGCACTTCTGTTGTCAACTGTTGTCAACTGAGGTCACTTCCTGGTCATGATGTGCAGTGGGTTCATGAGACAACTTGGTGCTTGATTAAAGAGGAACACTTACTGGTTCATGTAAGATGGAACCAAGCACATACATTCCTTGTGTAAAGTTTTGGTCCTGAAGTGATTACTGTTGTTATACCACTCACCATGGTATGGACAAATCTGATCACCCTTTAGCCTTGGCTTTGGTCTGAGGAGTGTCTGTTTGAAGCTTCAAGAATGAAAAACTCTATTCAGAGAAAAGTGGTTTGTTAATGGAACTTGTGTGCGTAAGTGTTTATCTGTGTTGTGTGATTTCGGAGTATTTACAAGTATAAATCACTCCGTCCAATGTGACCTATAAGCTTTTTACTACATGGAAACTTAACACCCTTACATGTTTCGGTCTCTCTGGACCCTCTTCAGAGGGCAAACATCACTACAAATAGGAAACCACCATCACATAAGTNTAAAAAAAAAACTCTACATTCCCAGGAAACTGCTGTGTTTGTGAAATGTTCTATTTTGTGTACTATGTATTGTGGCATATAGGTGTACGTACTTTATGTCTAAACAACTTATGTGATGGTGGTTTCCTATTTGTAGTGATGTTTGCCCTCTGAAGATGGTCCACAGAGACCGAAACATGTAAGGGTGTTAAGTTTTCATGTAGTAAAAAGCTTACAGGCCANNNCACATTGGACGGAGTGATTTATACTTGTAATTGTTAGTGTGACGGACCAGAATGAAACAAATCAAACTCAGAGTATTTCTATCATAAAATTATCTTAAATATAAAACATTCAACTTTCATATGGAACATCTGTTGTACAGTATGGCATTAGGTGCTTACTGCCTTCTGGAATGTGATTCCATATAGTTTGGTAAATAGGTACTGTTGTTTGGAAGAGCCGGGTGTCTCCATCTTCACTCTGCCATCCTGAAGATGGAGGCAGCATTTTCTTCCAAAACAGTGGTTCTTATTTGCCAGAGTAGACAGTGTAACATCCTATAGAACTGTAATATTGATGGTTTTGTGCTGGGAATGAATATCCACATTGGTGTGCTTGTAATGTTCACAGGATGTTCACTGATGTGAATTTAGATTTTGTGGAGCATTTTAATGAGTAAAAATGTGCACCACAATCTGTGTGATTCAGCAGTAATGTAATATTTAGGTATTTCTTACACTCAAACTGTTCTTAATTTTTTATCACATACCATAATATACATGTTCCTTGTATATTATTAAGGTTGATTCTTTTTCACACCAGTAATGTTCCAGATCTTGTTCTGTTATAATGTGATTTACATCATGACATTATTCTTTTAGGCCGTGGAACTGTCGTGACAGGGAGATTAGAAAGAGGTGTTATTAAAAAGGGCAATGAGTGTGAGTTCATCGGGCACAACAGGACCATGAAGAGCACAGTTACAGGTAGTTGTTTTCTTTGTACACTGTTTGTTGTGTAAGGTTGTTAATGTGTATTTGGAAACTTCATGTGGCTGTTCTGCTCCCGAGGTTTGATAGTTACAAGTAACAGTCATGGATGGCACTTTGGTGGCTCGGGTTGGTTTTGATGTGTTATGGATGAATATAGGTAGTTTAATTGTGTGTTGCTTTATATTAAATTGTTGGGGGTTGTCAACTTGGGTTGCTAAGCTTTGGGGGGGGGGGATGATCCTAATGTGATTGTATTGTTCTCTGCCCTGTATCATTTTGTACATTTTAAGAGTTCTTGACTTGTAGTGTTTAGATGGTTTTAACTGACTTGTCCAATTGTACTTATGTAACAGTTTATGGATGTTAAATAAATTATGAATTATGAACTTGGCCATTAGTGTGAAATGAAACTTCATTTGTGAAAAGTATTCATCTCAGAAAATCTTGATCACTTCGGCGTAAAATTTTCAAATGCAGCTCTCTTTGAAGGCTCAGTGTCTTTGATTTTGAATGCTGTTAGCATATCATATCAGCCGCTTGTGCAGCACATCTTGAGACATTGTTTTGGGTAACTGAGTTACAGCCAATGATGAATGATAGATTTCTTTGGGCTCCAATAATATGAAAACATGTTGTGTTCAACATTTTCACTTGAAGTCCATGGTCTTTATCATTATTTTTGCTCTAACTTGCTTCCTGCATTCTTAAATTGACTAAATCAGTACAAATAAGTTTGTCACCTGGAGGTTCTCTTTTGTATGTACCTTGAGAATTGCACGAACAGTTGCTGTGGACTTCAACTTGGCAAGCCATGTGACATATTGGGCCTTCTTCTGAACAGATGTCATTGTAACGATTGTATTAGGTGCACAATTTTAGTGCCACTGAGAAAGTTGAGTGTGTATGTGGACACATGCACAGCAGGCAAGGAATGGCAGACAACTTTGTGATCTGGTGAACATTTATAACAATCCTCATGATAGTTTGTCTGAAATTCAGTGAGATATTAAACTTCACTTCCAGAGTGTTCATTTTAGTCACCCTAAACTTACCCCGCTTTGAAGCCTAGACACTGTATTAAGAATATTTGCTTGGTTTTAAGTGAGATGATTTTCTTATATTTAAGTGAAACATTTGTTGCGACAGGCATTGAAATGTTCCACCAAATCCTAGAAGAAGCGCAAGCAGGTGACCAGTTAGGCGCATTAGTCAGAGGGGTAAAGAGAGAAGATGTTCGTCGGGGGATGGTGATGTGTAAACCAGGCTCAATTAAGGCCCAAGATAATGTTGAAGCACAGGTAATACAGCTGCTTCTAAGGTAGTGGACTGTTAATTATTCAGAATAGCGCATCATCTTGCTCATATCTATTTCAGTGAAGTCCGCTAAGGTTTATTTGGGTAACAGTGGATTTGAACACTGAAATGAAGAAAATTTTAAATGGAGACAATTTAACATTACGATTATTGAGATGGTTTAATGGAAATTGAATGTTAAATTGAGGAACATTAAATGGCAGTTGCAGTGTACAGGCTGTTATGATTTGCGCGATGAGAAATTGTGTATTTTCTAAACAGTTACAGATACAAACATGAAGTAACTTGAAGACAGTATGGAAACTTATAAAGCTTATCTAAAGATGTATGACATGTGCTCCATTAGTTACTCTGTTGCTGTCAATGAAATATTCAAGTTCATTCCATGTATACCACAGATGTGACTCATTGACATTGGCTGTAGTCTGTGAGATTTGCTCTCAGAACTCATGAAGGGGCTTTAGCATTATAGGTTGGTGTATGCCGAGTAAGGTCTGGCCATCGAGGTGGCCAAGGAATGGGGCCTTCTCATCCTGTCCAAGCCTTCTTGTGCCTTATGCACTTGAGGCACCCTTTACTGTGATAGCGATAGAGCACTACTTGCAGCTGAAGTGATACAATCATTGTTGCCAACAAAAACTTAAATTTGTCAGGAAGACTTAATTTCTCATCACTCAGATCACGATACTTTAAGAGATACTTAAATCATGTTCTTTTGATACATAGTGTTGGACTGTGATTCCAAAGGCGGGAGAACATTTTATTTAGATATTAACAGGTATGGCGAATTTTTCAGGTTTACATTTTAAATAAGGAAGAAGGAGGTCGAGCTAAACCTTTCACATCATACATTCAGCTGCAGATGTTCTCAAGAACGTGGGATGTTGCGGCACAGATCATTGTTCCAGACAAGGAAATGGTTATGCCAGGAGAAGATTCTAAGTAAGTACATGTTCTGTTTTGTGCCAAACATGAGCCGTGACATGTCAGTTGCGGTATTCTTAGTCTACAGGAGCAAATAGCCTTTTCCACTGGTATGACTGAACCAGTTACCTCAAAAAACGAATACAAACATCACTGAAAGAAATGGTGGGAGGATAGTATTAAAATGGATCTTAGAGAAATAGAGTGTAGGGATGTGAACTGGATTGAGCTGCATGAGATAATGAAGTTCTCATGGGTTGAGTACTAAGATTGTAGTGTCCTGGGACGTGACACTATGTAGTTTGGTGGTATTTTCCTAAAGAGTACCCATGAACCAGTACTGGTCATCACATTTTACTATACTGCCATCTGGATTGAACAGGCTCCAAATAAGTTCAGTGGTTGGCTTCTGTGGTAATGGCATTGAAAATTTGGACTCTATAACGGCAGGAAACTTGTAGGGACGATCATCTGGGCTCTATTATGTTGTACTTTGGAATAAGGCTAACATTTCAGAGGAACATGTTGTCCCCATCTTCACGGTTGCAGCAAGCAGATCCCAAATTGTGTTACAGCCCAGATCATGGTTTTCTTGGTCATAGTCAAATAAAACAGGAAATGTGTTGAATATCTGAAGACCAGTTACCTATACAGATAACAGTCTTTACCAGGGAAGTACCATTTTACACATTCGGTATTTATATATTTTGTTATTAAAGAGTATTCATTGATTCAGATAGAAACCTAAGTACTTTAAGACACATTATTTTGATTTACTATAATTTTCTTTATTTCAGATTGGTTTTGAAACTGATTAAACCCATGGTTTTGGAACAGGGCCAGAGGTTTACCCTTCGAGATGGTGCATTGACTCTGGGAACTGGTGTAGTGACAAAAGTGAATCCAGCTCTTACTGAGAAAGAGAGAATATCCCTTGTAGAAGGAAAGAAGGCACGCCAGGTGGCACAGGAGAACTGAAATAATAGGTTGCTGACCAGAAGTGATTATTAAGCAGAAGCCATTAGTAGGTGGCATGTAATTGAAATCGACAGTGTTTTGAACAAGTTGAATGGAGTCAGAGAGAGAATTCATTCAATACTATTGTTTTTACAAATGCATGGCTTCCAGAAAAGTTAATATTTATGGGAGTCAGCTTGCTATGTCTGCTTGGTCAGTGCATTTTGTTAACCAGTGAATGTTTAAAATTCATTCTTGAATATGTCTGTGTACACACACAATCACATGTTATGACCAGTCTTGTTAGCTTTATTTTGATGATACATACTAGTTTCACAATTTTTGGTTTATTGGTATAGTGACTAGGTTACAAGCTGGATGACTGAGAAATTAACGTTAAAATCGTGGCAGGGCCAAGAGATTTTTCTCTTCTACATGGTGTTAAGACTGGCTGTGGGGCCTCCTGAGTCTGCTGTACAATCAGTGCCAGGGACTGTGGAATGGCTGTAAAGTTGACGACTTATCTCTGTCCTTTGTTAAGGTCAAAATGGTGGACATGTAGCTGTACTGTTCCACATATATTCATGGCATAGTTAATTAAGCACAGAAGTTTACCTTTTATCAGCTGGGGAGCTCTCTTGCATTTAATGGAATAATCTTGTAAGGTTTCAGGATTTTGTATATCGCAATTTACATTCCTGCAATTAATCATTCTAATGCTCGAGTTTTTCTTTGTAACTCAAAGAATATAATTACATGGACTGTGAAATGTTAGTGACATTCATACCTTGTATGATGAATTCTGTATTTCAGCATCCTGTTGCAATTGTTTGTATTTATCGTCCGTCAATATTGCAACACTTGTTTATTCACTACTTAATTTTAATTTTAGTTTACCATTATCCACTTTGACAGTACATGTTTCGGCCCAAACGGCCATCTTCAGGTGTCTTGATGTGTTACAAATATTTTATTAAGTTATATTAAAACTGCTACACTCTGTTAGTCCGTGTTGAAATCACACACTATAGTTCTCTTTTCAAGGTAAATCCAGATAAAATCCATTAAAGTTTTTATTATACCCACGTTATTTTGGTGCAGTTTATTTCACCTCACACGGGGTGTCGTCCATTGAAATAAAATGCACCAAAATAACGTGGGTATAATAAAAACTTTAATGGATTTTATCTGGATTTACCTTGAAAAGAGAACTATGCTTGTGATTTCAACATGGACTAACACAGTGCAGCAGTTTTAACATAATTTAATAAAATATTTGTAACATATCAAGACACCTGAAGATGGCCGTTTGGGCCTCAACATGTAGTGTCAAAGTGTATAATGTTAAACTAAAATTAAAATTAAGTAGTGAATAAGCAAGTGTTGCAATACTGATGGACGATGTATGACATTGTATGATGAAATCTTCATAATCCATTCTTTCTTTATCTCTTGCTGATCTGAAATTTATAGATGGGAAAGGTAAGAGAAATTATAGTAGGAAATAGTTCCTTAATGACTGAGTTTAAATTAAATACTTTATTTGGTGTTTGAATGTCCAGACTATAAGGACACAGTAAGACATGGCCCCATTTAGTTGACCGTGTTCCTTCTACTTCTGAACTGGTTCCAAGTCAGCAACAAGATACAGGCAGAACCTGCCAGATATTTTTCATTTATTTGGAAAGTAGCCATCAAATATATGAAGTTCCCATAGCACTGACAGTTCAGATTGAGGTGTTTTGTATTAGGACACTATAATTTGGTGTATTATGACACTGTGTAATCTTGTAGTTGAGTACCAACATTTTAGAACTACACAGTGACCAGAATATGAGCCTTAAAATAAGTGTGAAATATTTTGTGGAATGAATGTAACCCACATAAAGAAAGAAAATGTGAACAAGTTACTGGGTTACGACAATCCAAGTGAGTCATAGCCATGTTTTAAACTTAGGTGAATACCAAAGTCTGGGTTTGTAATTGTCAGTATTTCAAGTGTAAGCTGTAAATTCATAATTGATGAGAAAATCATGAAGTTACAAAGAATCAGAAGCTAATTGTGTTTGTAGAATAAGATGTTATGGTATTAACAGCCTTCTTGGTCTCTGCCCAGTTTGAGATGAGGAAATCTATTCTTCAGGTGGAAGCACCCATGGGGTTGTTGGTGGAAGCGAGGCTGTGCTGTATGGACACTGAATATTCCCGTCTGTTGACAAAGTTGTGACTCCTCAGAGGTGGCAGTTGTACATGGCAGGCTCTGGATATTACCAGTCTCAAACACTTTTTGTTAGAGGCCAGAAATTGTCTTGCTTCATTGTGTTCACTTATGAGGTGTCAAAATGGAATTGTAATTTTATTTCCATTATAAATCCTTAAATCTCAAAACATCTTTTAATCCTCTTGAAACCTTCAGAACAGCTTAGGTTGGAACAACTGATTACCATACATAAACCTGAATCTCAAGCAGTAATTGATTTTCATGCTAGAAGTCATGCATTGAAATTTACTTATTACATGTATCAGTATGTCATAGGCAGTCTTCATATTATATTGTAGCTCTTGTTGCACATCATTTATTGTTCAACAAATGTCACTGATTACATGTAACATGCCCTGCTAAAACTAATTAAAAAGTTCAAAAGTTTCAGTGCGTCATATTTAAAAGTTTCTGTACATTCCACTACATGTTTCAACTGACATTGGTCATCATCAGGTGTTTAAAATTGTTTGTGAAAACTCCTGTGCTTCTAATATTAAGTGTGTGGTCCCATCTGCATACTTGTGTATTCTATGGTGCTTGGTGGCGCTACCTATTGTGTTGTGCGACTAGACTATGAGTAAGAGAAAGCCACCCAGCACCTTGGAATACAAGAGTGCATAGATGGGACTAAACATCAAATATTAGAACCACAAACAGAAGCACAGCAGTTTCCACTAACAATTTTAAACACCAGATGATGACCAGTGTCAGTGGAAACATGCAGTGCAATGTACAGAAACTTTAAAATAAGCACTGTGATGTTTCAGGACACGTTGCATGTAAGACGGTGAATCAGTGACGTTTAATAAGTCATAGGTCAAGTTTGAAGAAATGCATAATTCCATACCCTCAGTGAATTGTATTGTTTGACGAAAGTTTTAATCAACTATGTGATGTTTCACAAATTTATTGAAATATAGTTTTCCTTTTGTTACACTGTATTCTGTCTCACATTCTACTGTTGTAGTTGGGCCTTCAGAGAGATAAATTTCATCAAACCCAATTTAATCCCACCATATATTTAAGTTCAAGCAAAATATATTTTTAATTTACTTAGTAATTTAATTAAACCTTATTTACTCCCACTGGATTTAAGTGCAAGGAATATATTGTCACATGTTGGGTATGTAACGCAACAGATAACTTCATGCCATTTTGGATCACGCAAATTTATTCCTCTCGCTCTTACATGTATACAATTCACAATTTCCCAATTACTGCAATCTGCAGTATCACAATTACCTCTCCTGCTGGAGTCCCTGCCATTCACTCGATACAAAACTCGTAGCTGCGGGACTTCAACTCATACTGAATACTAGTAACTGGCTCAATACTCACTACTCCTGAATAGTGTTCGCTGCTCCTTATTTAGGCTTGGCACGGACAACATAGAGAACACATTGCTGCTCGGCAACTGCAGTCGACCGTTTCACCCATTGGCCAGAAGCCATCCCCATCCCAGACATCACAGCCGACACAGTGGCACGAGCCCTACTGACTGGCTGGATATCCTGCTTCGGTTGCCCACAGACCATCACCACCGACCAGGGACGTCAGTTTGAATCTCAACTCTTCCACTCCCTGGCCAAGCTCTGTGGCATTCAACTCTCGTGAACAACTGCTCACCACCCAGCGGCTAACGGACTCGTGGAATGTTGCCACCGAACACTAAAGGCAGCCATCATGTGCCACGCAGACCAACACTGGACAGAAGCCCTACCCCCGGTTCTCCTCGGAATCTGCATGGCATTCAAAGAGGACCTGCAGGCATCACTAGCTGAGCTCGTGTATGGTTGAGCCACTAAGAATACCAGGAGAGCTGCTAACTCCGACTGCCGACCCAGTGGATCCAGCACACCTCATCACTCAACTTCGCCAATATCTGGCCTGCCTCAGACCAATTCCAGCAACATGCCATGCCTCACCAGCTACATTCGTGCACAGCGACCTCGAGAAGTGCACGCATGTCTTCCTCCAGCAGGACACGACTCGTAGATCGTTGGAGCCCCCCTACAGCGGCCCCTACCAGGTCCTATCACGGAAGAAGACAATGCAAATCCTCGTGCGCGGCAGGCTCACCACTGTGTCAACCGATAGGGTCAAACCTGCCTACATGTTCAACGAGACAGGCCGTGGGACCACCACCAAGACCTTCAACCCTGCAGCCGACGAAACCCCAACAGCGATTCTGCATGCCGTACCACCACAGCCTGTACAATGAACTACACGCTCCGGACGTCATATACATTTTCTTGATCGCTTCAACAGTTGAGCAACAATCTCTGCGGGCATGGGGGGGGGGTTGGGAACTGCTCACATTCAAGCAAGTGTGAGAACGCAAGCTTCATTGCTTAGCAATGACGAGTAAACAGCGGTTGCTAGGCAAAGCCTACAACAATACGGACAGTGACATGTTTTCTATATGTCCGACTCTAGGTTACATAAGAAGATACATTGAGTGACAGTTACAGTTCTAGATTCTACAGTTCTACAATTCTGGTTCAATGTGTTCATTATTGTTATTATTCTTCAAACGCAAGTTCGTCTGTGCATACAGTGCAACTGTAATAAATACTATAGGACCGTTCAACTAGTGGTTGTCTCTTCATATGACATCCCACAAAGTATTGTTGTCAAGTGTTTCTACCTACGCATTGCCTAGCAAAGGTCGCTGCATGGACTCGCCTGTTGCATGACGTCACAGCCTAGCATGGAGGGGTTTACCAAGCGTTGCATAATGATGGGAGGAGTGGGGGTATGTGATGTCACTCGTGGAAACGCAGAGTTTACGTGACCCCTACTTCCTGTTGCGTCATCCACGTTACAATATATATTATGTATCCGGGGTTCCACGGTGAATAATGGGTTTTGGATTGGTTTTATTGGCACTTCGATTACAGTTATGCAACAGCTCACAATGGATGATTTCCCCCCCCCCTCTCCCTCTCCATTCCTTAGTGGGCTACAAGTCTTCTCTTCTGCATGACTGACTTGGTTCTGATTTGATTCTGTCACTTTAGCTTCTGCTCTCCACTGGTTAACACTCCACAGCTGAATGCTAGACTTCTCACAACTGAACCATTGAACTCTCGAATGACAGCTCCTTTCCGAATGAACTCTGAACTACTTTATAACCAATTGTCACCATGTCTTACAGTTCCTCTGTTATTATGAAATGTGCTTACTGAACTGTTGCCCAGCAATGGACTTCTGCAGCATGTCACAATATATATATATATATATATATATACTTTTTTTTTTACTTTATTTCAAAAGGACCTGAAATGTTTGAACTTTCTCTCTTCATTTCAAATTGTAGTCTGTGACACTGTAGTCTCATAGTTTTATATGCATGTTTTGGAGGAATATACTTATCTTCAGGATTGAATTGTGTAGGTTTAGCAATTACCTCCAGTATAGGGGTAGGTGTGATAAGGGTGGTCATGTGACCCAAGGAGAGGGGTAAGCATAAGAACTCAGCCTGGGCCAGTACAAGGAGCGTTCACGTTCTAAGGTCTCCAATTTTTTCCTCAGGACTGGGAGCAGATAGACACATGCGGTTTAGTTTAAAATACCTGTGCACTCTTTGTGAATGTGAGACAGAGATGGCAGCGAGAGTGAGGAGTGTTTTTGATACCTAAAATGGCGACGTTTGCGTTACAAGAACAGCGAGTAATCATTCGTTTTCTCCACTCACGTGGTGCGACACCCATTGAAATTCATCACCAGTTGAGTGAGACATGTCGTGATTGTGTCATGAATGTGAAAAATGTGCGTTCATGGGTGCGACAATTCAAAGGCCGAACGTCGTGTGACAACGAACCAAAAACAATCTTGGCCCCACACCAGCTGGTCTGACATGGTCAAGCGAGTTGAGAAAGTTGTTTTGGAGGATCACCGATTGAGCGTGGAAAACATTGCCTCCAAAGTTGGCATTTCTATGGGATCTGTGCACACAATCCTGCATGAACACCTGCGAATGCGGAAAGTGTCCTTCAGGTTGGTGCCACGAATGCTGCTGGACGACCACAAGGCTGCACGCATGGCACTTTGCCAGCCGATGTTGACACGTGATGAAGGCATGAATGGGACTTTCTTTTCATCAATTGTGAGACATGGATGCCGTTTTTCAATCCTGAAATGAAGCACCAGTCAGCTCAATGGAAGCCGCTATTGCATCAGCAATTTTCCAGTGGTCAAAACAGACTCCTACAGAAGCGTTCGCAGCGGTCATGGAATCATGGCGTCGACGTTGTGAAACGTGTACAGCTGCAGGGAGATTATGTTGAAAAGTGACAGAAGTTTCAAATTTTTTGTATGATTGTGTGAGAAAAAAATTGGAGACCTTAGAACTTGAACGCACAACATAGGAAGAATGGTAGTGGATTGCCCTTTTGAGGGGCAAACTTGTTTCCTTTTGCCAGGTTGGAAATGGAACAGAGAACCTATTGCCATAGGCAAAAAAAAAAAAAAAAANTAGTTATCCCCTGTAACAGGCTCTGAAAAGTTTGAGGCTCCCGCATCTTCTCGACAATCGGCTCACGGAGTAAGGTTGTCAGCCAGCCGCCTTTTACCACCCAGGAAGGTTCCTGGTACTCGCTTCTATTAAGAGGCTTGGTCGACCCCAGGGCCACAATGTGGCTGGAAGGATTACATAAATTGTGGGGGGGAGAATCCAACTCATCAGGACTTGAACTTGCAACCTTCCATCTTGTAGCATAGTGCCTCAACCACTACCTCCTGCATTGTCTTAGGACTTAAGATAAGTTAACTTGAAACCCTGTTCCCTGTGCAAATCATCAGAGGCATTTTCTACATGTTCCAAGACTTTCTTCTGCCAGTAACAAAACTGGTGCTAAGACTGAAGATTCTCCTTATAACCATATTTCCAGCATCTGCTCTTAATGTGGCTGAAACGATTAGGTCAATTGAAAAATCCAATGGCTCCACCAGGAATCGAACCCACAACCTTCCAGCTTGTAGCAGTGCCTCAACTAACTATGCTACCATGTGCTAACACTGTGTAACATTCTGAAATTCTTTGCAGGCCAGCACAAACAAAGTTTTTATTTTATTCTCCTTTATACATCAGTCAGTTTTAAGACAAAACCATTTTCTATGGAAAGAATAGCTGAGTTTTTTAGAAATGAGTCCATTGACAACAAGGCTTTAAAAATGCTTGATGAAAAACAAAATGCACTCAACAGGGTAAAATATACAACCTTTCAGTACATAAACACAATATACTGAGAAACTGTCAGAAGTTATACAGCCAATTAAATGTACCTTGAAGCAACACCCAAATGCATCACTATTCACTCTTGTGGTCTATAAAAATAGTAAACAGTCCTATAATATGCACTTCATCCATACAGCTCACTACAGGCATCAAGTAACAACACTCAACTCAAATATTCAAACATTTCAAATCTGTCCCCAATCTCATTTTCATATTTACATTATACCAAAATTGCTGAGTACATATGTTGCACTGAAAATGAGTTTTTATTTTATTCTCCTTTATACATCAATCAGTTTTAAGACAAAACCATTTTCTATGGAAAGAATAGCTGAGTTTTTTAGAAATTATTCTGATGAGTCCACTGACAACAAGGCTTTAAAAATGCTTGATGAAAAACAAAATGCACTCAACAGGGTAAAATATACAACCTTTCAGTACATAAACACAATATACTGAGAAACTGTCAGAAGTTATACAGCCGATTAAGTGTACCTTGAAACAACACCCAAATGCATCACTATTCACTCTTGTGGTCTATAAATATATTAAACAGTCCTCTAATATGCACTCCATCCATACAGCTCACTACAGGCATCAAGTAACAACACTCAACTGTTGAGCTGTATGGATGGAGTGCATATTATAGGACTGTTTACTATATTTATAGACCACAAGAGTGAATGGTGATGCATTTCGCTGTTGCTTCAAGGTACATTTAATCGGCTGTATAACTTCTGACAGTTTCTCAGTATATTGTGTTTATGTACTGAAAGGTTGTATATTTTACCCTGTTGAGTTTTTTCATCAAGGCAAATGTGATTTTACAGTTGACTTGATGAAATTTGCACTGAAACGAACACAAACACTAAAACATTTACAGATCTTCATCGTCCTCTGGAAGGGCTGTCTCTTGAGCTTCCTGGAACAGAGATGAACAATGTTAGTTTATTTTAGGCAGTTTAACACAGGCAACACATGAAATTCACTTGCCTTACATTCCAAACTTTGAAAATAAATAGGCTATGTCATTTTCCACAATTACCATTACACAAGGGGGCACGATGCTACAAGCCGGAAGGTCGTGATTTCAAGTCCTGATGAGGTCATTGGATTTTTTTCAATTGACCTAATCCTTCCAGCTGCACTATGGCCCTGAGGTCGACTCAGCCTCTAACAGAAATGAGTACCAGGAATCTTCTTGGGGAGGTAAAGGGCGGCCAGCACGTAAGGCTGACAATCTTACTTTGTGAGCTGACTGTCTAGGAAATGTGGGAACCTTGACGTCTCAAACCCTGTGGACCTTCAGGGCCTGTTACAGGGATAGCTTTACCTTTTATCATTACACAAGCCATCCCATGTTTAATTACAAGAAACAACGTTAAGATCTGAGATTGTCATGGCGGTATCAAGATTACTGTCTTCCGGAATGAAATGCCATGTAGTCTGGAAAAATAGTACCATAGTTTGAGATGAACCAGCTGTCTCCATATTCTACCTTGAAGATGGTGGCAGCAGGTTCCTCTGAAATGTTGGTACCCATCAATCAAACTACACAGTATCACATCCAGAGGACTCTGGTGTCTTCTGGGATGTAACTGCCTGCCACCTTGGCTTACTCTTTGATCCTCAAGATGGAGTCACTGCATTCCTCCAAAATATCTGTGGGTCACTACTGTGAGAACCTCAAGTTCAAGAAAATGTCACAGTAAAAACTTTCTGACCCCTTGAAACAAACTGCACATAACACAAAGTTGTATTATGCCCAAGATGTAAGGTAACACTAGATCCATGATTTTATCCAAATAATGAACAATGTAGCAGAACAAATAACATCCTTCACTGACCTTCAGGTCTTTCTCGATCTGTAGCTGCCAGTTGGGGTCCATGGTCACCTCTGGTGGCACCAGTGCAGGCATTGCCACAAATTCGAGGTTTGGATCACCAATTAATTTTCTTGCCAACCAAAGGAAAGGTTTTTCAAAGTTGTAGTTGCTCTTTGCACTGATGTCATAATACTGAAACAGAAAATGATTCCATGCTTGGTACAAATTTTTTGGACACGAAATGGTGTTCACCTAAGCCTGCAGAACCATCTCAGATTAGAGGGACAGATCTGCAGTCCTCATAGACATTGCAGTAGGCATCTCTGATTCATCAGCGACATTATGATACAAATTACATGTGTGGAAGTGTTACAGAAGTGCAAGACTTAAGCATTCACGACAATTAAGGTATGAAGTCTCCTAAGGTGATCAGCCATGTGAAAACATAGTATGCAATGTTTTACCAACTTTCCCTGCCTCCATCATCAGAGGTCAGTGTGACAAGTGACACACCTATCTGTTGTTAGGCACTCCCACAAGTGGTCCATGATCAGAAAGGGCGCTACTCTCTAAAACCAATCCCCCATATATAAACAGAATGGACAACTTTCATTACTGTTGATGGAAACAGATTTGTCACCAACTCCACTTTCGCATGGGTGATCACCCAAGACAGCCTCATCCCATCACAGAAATATTTCCTACCTGCAAATTCTTCTTTCTGTGAAACACGATGCTTTTAGCTTTGACTTTCCTGTCCTTTATGTCGACTTTGTTCCCACAGAGAACAATGGGGATGTTTTCACACACTCGAACAAGATCACGATGCCAGTTTGGGACATTCTTGTATGTCACTCGAGACGTGACATCAAACATTATAATGGCACATTGCCCCTGAAACAAAACAAAGAATGAAACCAAGCCACAAGAAATCTTCATGTGCAAAAGATTGGATTTTTAATACTTGAAGTAATATAGTTAGGGCGATTAGTCGCCATCTTCCCAGCACAGTGGCCTGGGTTCAATTCCAGGCCGGGCCAGATTTGTGGTCTACAAAGTGGCACTAAGGTGGGTTTTCATCAAGCTCTTCAGTTCTCCCTGCCAATTTTCACTCCACCAACTGTTTAATATTCAGTACCTATCCTACGGTCTCGATACTGACAGCATCATTAAATAACCAACTTTAAAAAGTGAGGCACATGCAGGACTCTGTGTCACTTCAGACCTCATTTGTTAAACCACAGCAGATGTCACAAGATCTCAACCAGCAAACTAATGTAGTTTATTAAAGCTGCAGGTGTGCTGATAGGATGGGAATGCAACAGATCATTACTGATCGTCAGGGCTCGGATTTTGATGACATGTCATCTCAGATATGAGCTGCTGCTTACAGAAATGTAAGTTTTATAGGTAATTTTTTAGACTTTCAAGGGTATTTCTTGTCATTTTTGGCCATTTTAGGGAATTTTTCTTCATATGTTTTTTTTTAAATGTGAATAATATGGAAGCGAAGTGTTCTTTCTCTTTCTCCTTTAGGTCATTTTCTGGATTTTTTAGCCATTTTTTAAATATTTTCAGGTCATCAAAATCCGGGCCCTGCATATTAATTTTTGGGTCAAATTTTAGGTTACTTTTCTGGATTTTTTAAATATTTTCAGGTCATCAAAATCCGGGCCCTGCTGATCACAATGCAAGGACTGTTGAATAACCACCACCTTTTAAATAATTCCCTTGCAAGTGGAGATAGGGCATAGGAACCGGAATATTATCTGGGTAGTGTGCCTTTATACATTGCTGTTTGGGGAGAGAGGAACCACCCACTGACCTAAGGTGACATCATCATAGACCAATAGGATAAAGGGACAGAAAAACCATGTTCTGGGAAGAACTATTCATTTTCCTTTGATACAACATGGACCATGCAGAAAAAGCATCCAACAATTATTCAGTGCCACAGGAACATTATTACCAAGTTGTTACCCAGCAACAATAGGGATACACACTGACACCCAAAAGTGATCTTTTCACACCTTATCGACAGACTCTCCTTCAATAAGATGTGGACCACACAGAACATGTCCAACAATTCTATTGTTGTGTGTATTTGATGCCACTGGAACGTGTTTACTGAGCCCTTGCCTTGTACCAAATGGAGCAATACACTTAACCAAGCAGTTGCCTAGCCTAGGAAGGACTTATGAAGTACATTGCCGAGACAAGCTCAGGCGCCAAAGTTCCATAAAGATTGGTTCGGGCATTCAAGTCAATGGGCAGGATTCACAGACATCATGTTGATCAAATAAGACTGCTTTATTTTTTCAAAAGAAGTTCTGGGAAGAACTGCCTAATATGAAACAGACCATGCAGAAATTAATTCATTTCAACAATTCTATTGTTGCATGTGTATTCATTACTATGGTATAACTTTTACCAAGCTGTTCCCTACGCTGCTGTCATGATATAGATACCAAGTTTCATAAAGAGGAGTTCAGCCACCAAAAAGTTAATAAGAAAGGTACCCCACACAGCATGGAGATCGCATAAGCGATCCATAAAACCAAAATTGTGACTAATGTCAATAACGAACTCCTTTAATAAACTAAGGTATCTGTAACCCTGCAGCTACTAGGGGTTCCAAAAACTGTACATTCCTAACTCAATACATATGGTATCCTTCAAACTAATCTGAAACATTATGTAAACATAAGAATCTGCAGCTTGATATCTAACCAAATCTTGATTCACTGCAATGCTGTGAATAGAAATAAATATACGTAAAGCTAATAACCTGTATATAATAGCCATCTCGTAGACCACCAAATTTCTCTTGACCTGCGGTGTCCCACACATTAAACCGTATCGGTCCTCTGTTGGTATGGAATACAAGAGGATGAACTTCAACTCCTAACGTAGCCACGTATTTCTTCTCAAATTCGCCAGTTAGATGCCGTTTGACGAAAGTAGTTTTCCCCGTACCCCCATCACCAACGAGGACGCACTTGAAAGTCGGCATATCAGGGTCTTGTGCCATGTTAACTGCTTCGTTGATCTTACTTCCTAGAAATTCACAACAAAAGTGAACTCATAAAGCACAAATGTACAGCCATCCGCATACTTGGAAAAAAAACTTGCGTCACATGATGCAGGGCGATGATATACCGCAATTTAATTTCTGTACATACATAAATACCTCTTATACTTATAGTTTATATTTTAATACTAAATCACATGTTTAATAATACACAGAACTACAATTTCCTGAGTATTCTTACAAATAAGGTGGAAATGGCGCCTTTTCTATGGGTCAAAGGAAATTGGTATCGCAACACCGAATTTGAATGCGTTATTTACTTCAATTATTATTCTAAATTACAACCTTTCTGAACCAACTTCTTCGTTAATGTATTAATAACCTATTTCATAATTAAAGACATAAACCATACCCCGATGCACGCAAAATTGCACGATAAATCTTACCTCAATACAAAGCCTTTACGGTCCACAATGGCGTTCAGCAGAAAAGAAGGTGGATTTCCAAGAGCTGCACTATGCAACTCAATGTTACTGTCTGGCTACGTAGCGGCCATGACGACACAGATATATTATTCTGCCATCTACTGGCAGCGTTCAAGCTACCCCTGCAAAATTACCTCAGCCACTGGAGAGACCTCAGTCGGCAAAGAAAGTTAGCTACTATCCACTTCACCATTCTAGGCATATAATACCTCCTGTTTACAGCCTTCTCGGAACAATGGTTTTCACAATCAGATCTCTCGTACCAGCGGTTCTTACTCCGTTTTCGAAAATTGCCCTAATTAATATCATTTCACTCATGTATCAGGAGAAAGTTTCTCAGCAATGCTCATTTCATTTATATCAATTCAACACATTCTTACTGAAATATACCGGCCATTGTGAACTATAATATACATAAAACACATATTCATAAGTGCTTAGGAAAGCTGAAGCTGGGTACACTACAAAGAAAAGTCTGTTTCCATAAGAGATATTTGTATTCAGCCTCATAACCTTGTTGAAAACTTATACTTCAAAGCCACATAAAACATAGTTTCTCAGTTACATTAATGTATTATAAATTACATCTAGCAAGCAGTAACACTGAGGTTTCCATATATTATTAATTGCAATAGCATGATGAAACTCAAGAATTTGAAATACACTCTTCTATAAAAGTTAAATAATTAATTTAATAGTACATTAAAAGCAATAAAATAATTGCAGAACTGTGATGCACTTTATGAATCTGAAATATACTCTATGCTTGCAAGTTTGATGTTGAATGGAATAACATATCTGAAGCAATAAAGTGAACCTTAACTAAGTAACTAACTTCATGGAGCTGGGCCACTCTCGAGTAGCAAACAGTTGCCTGTTCATTCAACAGAACTGTGGCATTTTATAGAACCCAGAGGTTGAGTACTGTGTTAACAAAGGCCCACCAGGTGAATCAAGTTCACACTCCCAATACTGTATCTATAAATTAAATTTTAATATTAACCTCCCATCTACACCCGTGTCTTTCCTTCAGGTGTCCTACCAAAAGTGTGCATGCGCTCCTGCTACATGCCCCACTCATCTCATTCTTCTTGACTTGATCAGCCTAATAATATTTGGCAAGGAGTACAACTTATGACACTCCTCATTGTGGAATTTCCTCCAGCCACCTATCTCTTCATCCATGTCAATCCAAATATTCTTCCCTTTTTTCTCAGACACCTTTTCTTTTCTATTCTCTTCTCTTAATGTTAGACAAAAAGTTTCACATCCACACAAAACTACAGACTGAATTAATCTGTATATTTTAAAATTCACGTTCTTAGAGAGCAGATGACAAGAAAAACACCTCTCATCTGAATGTCACCATGCACTGCTAGAATTAATGAACCTTACAAATGATTGATTGATTGATTTATTTCGTCACTGTAGATCATTGTACATGATATAGGACAAGTCAAGTTAATTCTGAATATTAACAATTTAATATATGAGTAAGATTAAAATTACAATAGTTACAATTGTTTACAGTTGATTACAATTTAGAATTAGTTAGATATTCTTATTTGTGGAGAATTTGATGGAATGAAGATTGGCAGGGGAAACTGAAGTACTCGGAGGAAACCTGCCCCAGTGCCACTTTGTCCATCACAAATCCCACTTGCCCAGATCACAGTGGTGGGAAGCCAGCGACTAATCGCTTAAGCTATGGTGTGGCCTTAGAATAATGATATGGATAGCTAGTGTAATGTTCACTGCAGATCGGTGCCCTTCTTGATGGCCTGGTATTCTCAATCTCTCTCTAAGCGGCCTACGTAGACCTCCCTCCATCACATGATGTCCTTTCTATCACATATCCAACATGGTGTCTTGATTCCTTTAAGCAGAAGAGAACTGTGCAGTATACATTCATAGCATGCTGGTATAAGCTCAACAAGTCACTTATTCTTGAATTATCTGGTCATATTGATGTTAACTACGGTTTATCCCCAAACAAGAAAAACTCATCTATACTATAAAAACAATGTTCAAGTAGAAATGTTTTCAAAGTCTTTTTAAATTTATATAGTGCTGGTATATCTTTTGTATATTGTGGCAAGTGGTTTAAAAGATGAAGTCCAATATTATTGAAGTTGTTTTTACACATACTCGTCCTACATGGAACTATGAATAAGTTGTCTTTCTTTCTTGTATTGTGTGAGTGTACTGCTGAATTAGTAATGAAAACATTCAAGTTGGATTTCATGTAAATCATGTGGATTATATTGATGTTTATAAGTTTAATACTGACGTCCATGATTTATGCTAACCATCTTACAGTGCACACACTTTTTCACCTTACTCCTCCTTTTTGCACTACATGTTTCAACACTAATCTGCCATCCTCAGGTGCGTCTCTATGCATGTCTAACTACTGCATTGCATACCCTGATGTCTTCATACTAAAATGACTAAATATATATTCGTCATGTATAATAATAAATTGTAAATATTAAAACTTTTCAGGATTTGTCATCCTTACGTCTGTGGGAGTCATTGTATGAAGAGACAACCACTAGTTGAACTGTCCTATAGGATTTATTGCAGCTGCACAGTATACACAGACGGATAACAACAATAGTGAACTGCTTGAACACTGAACTAGAATTGTAGAACGGTAGAACTGTCATTGTAACTCAGTGTATCTTCTTATGTAGCCTAGAGTCGGACATATACAAAATGGTTACGTAATAGGTACTGCTGTTGCCAGACACCGTGTTTACAAGTTCCCTAGCAACCGCTGTTTACTCGCTTTTGCCTAGCAACCGTTGTTTACTCGTTGTTGCTAAGCAATGACGCTTGCGTTGTCACACTTGCTTGAATGTGGGCAGTTCCCACACGTCGTATCTCAATACGCGAATCACGCCAATCGTCCTCTGTGGAAGCACTCTTCCTACATTCATGTGTGTATTGTGCTCTTTGTTGTGTCTTGCTCCTGTGACTGTCCGCGTTATACATTATTAATACTGAATGGAATAATGTAATCAATTTCTTTGTAGTGAAACCACTTTCCAAGAAACGTCTCCTGCACTATTTATTGTAGCACATTCTAGCAGAATCAACAGTACAGGATATCTACATTTCTCCTGCCCATACCAAAGCCCTGTAAAACAGAACATACTGTCTCAAAAGCTGGAAATAATTCAGCAGCAGCAGACATTACAAACATGGTGAGGGTACTTAATTTTGGGGTTATGTCTAAGAAACTTAATGTAGACACATTAAAGCAATTTCTTGGTCGGCTTACAAATTTACAATGTTTAAGTATGATACTAACAACAAAAGATTTTTAGGGCTAGGAATATGTAATTGGAAACAAGGCTTCATGAATTCTAAAGGGAACACCTGCTCCATGTTATTGATTACTTACAGTTAGGAAACTGAATTAATGTGATAATTACCATTGAAATTAAATTATCACATTGGTAACCGAAGCGCCAATGATTAAGCAACACATAGTAAAGCCATTACATCATGAATGAAACCACGTAGCTCCCGATCCCTGTGAAAACTTAAGAATTTTAATTCCTTCTGCCTGTGGGATGAATACCACCCTGACGCAAAGCATATCTTTTGGCGCTCAATTTTATATTGCAAGAAACAATGCGAAAATAGTGACGCAATCATGATACAGTTGAAGTTTCTTTACATTCCACAGATCCCTTCCTTAGGCTAAATTAAGAGCGCGTCATAATACAAATCCAAATACTTACTTCCATGTAATTATTACAAATATAACTTAACGGCATACTTCCGTATCCTACGTAAGACTTAAATAATTTAGATGCAATGTCATTATAACCATACGATTTTTTTTACAGCATTTTACACATTTTCCTGTCGTGCAGTAGGCGTCTGATGTATATAAATAATGTGATGTGGTAATGTAACTTCGTACATAAACGTTTCTCATTTTACAACGATATCAATTCAAAATAAAAACTGAACATTCAACAGTGAATAAGCAGCAACTTGTAAATTATTTGTAATTATTCCCAATCACCACAACTTCCGAATTTTTCGAACGTAAGGCAGGTAACATTGTTTCAGACACAAACAACTTTAACGTGGTTGATACCGTTGATACCAATGAGCCCAATGAGCCATCAGTGTGAAAACGCTGCTCATAGATGGCAGTAGACATTAATGCAGATGGCGCTTGGGTGTGTTTCCCATTCCCGTCTCTCTATTACACGGGTGTTTCAATCGCTTTTAATTCATAAATTCTTATATTATTAAAATAATATAAATATTTAACAGTTTTTATGTTAATAATAGTGAAATTAAAAGTTTTTATTTCATATAGCATTCAAGCTTATAAATGCTACACATTACTTCCCTCTAGTAATATTATTACGACAAATTTTGCGATATTCTGTTGACGTCATAGGCGCATGCGCATAGCAACAGACGGCACTGCAGAAGCAGTGAAGTCATAAGCGTATCGATTTTTATTATTGTAGTGTCTGTTTCCGTAGTTGTAGTGTCATTTCATGGAAATATTCGTGAATGGGATGTTTATATAAAGCAAGACGAATCCTCACTGTGTGACTTGGACAGTTAGAAGATGACGAAGGATAGGTTAGCAGCGCTGAAAGCGGTGAGTGAAGTTCAGTGGCATCCCATCTTTGCAGTGCAGCCCTAACCCACCCATAACATATAGCATTCGACAGTGATGTCAAAGTCATTCTTTTGGGACTTTGTTTGAATATTGTAAAAGAATGTGATTGATAAGCTAGATATTGATTTTCAGTTTTGTGTCGGATTGTGTAAGCAAAGGACGAATAATTAAAAAACCAGCCGGCGTGAATTGTCACATAAGACTTAGAAGTTTTTATGACAGTTCTCCAAAATCAAATTTTGTATGTGACATTTAGTTGGTACTTTATTGTTGTTATACATGTGTGACTTCGTATATTGGATATGTCTTAAAATTATTTAGTGTTTAATCATTTGTACAGGAGTGAATAGTGTGATCATAACATTTAAGGTTAATTTTACTGAATACTATATAGTAGTTCCCCAGTTTTTACAGATGGTCATTTATTTCCCAGTTTTTCTTTTTTTTCTTTAGATGCTTTGCATACTTTCCTATTGCAGAATATTAGAATATACATTATTTCCTATAGCAACATTTATTTTTGAAATGTCATTTAACCATTTCAAGCCAGAAATTCACACAAAAGATAAAAATTCTTATTCTACCAAACAGAAAACACCCAGTCACCATTATAGAAACCAGCCAGTTAATGTTCCCTAGAGATGATATTGCTGTTTATTCTCAGAATCATATTGAACATATAAATACACTCTGAAGGCGAAATGCAGAGTTCTTTTGATGTTAAAGAAGGTGGTGCATAATGCAACCACTGTGCTTTAAATGGTTAGTAGAACAGTATGCCACTTCTATTGCCAAGTTTTTTGACCATCACTGAATTGGAATCATATTGATAACATTTTGTAATCAGCGTCAAAAATAAGATTTTTATGTCCTGATGACACTGACTGGCCCCATCTAGCCCATTGTGTACAGTGAGGCTATGTGCACAGTAACAGTTTCACTTGACAATTTTTAGCTTGTGTTCCATTACTAAATTGATCATGGACACATTACAACTGACACTGAATATGATTAGCCATGAAAGTGATTACCACTTCGGACATAATTTTTCTTGATCTGTAGTACTTCCAGATCTGGGGATGGAATGTTTATCAGGGTGGTTATGTGGGGGATTGTACTGCTAACCACATCATTGGAGCAGCACATATTTGTATTAGAGGTGGCGCATGCATCATTGCAGTGACAGCCAAAGTTTTCACTACTCTGCGGTAGGTTTGTAGTGGGCTGTGTTATAATCAAAATGAAATGCTAAATGGATTCTTGTCCTGCGAGTATCATTTCCTCTTATGTGAAGTGTCCCATACTTTCATTCTTCTCATAATGTTTCCTTTTTGATCTGTTCAACTGTTTCCTCACATCTTGATGTCTTCCAGTAGCTGGCCAAACCTCTTGTTATGGGTCATCCCATAATGCTCTTATCCTTAAATTTAATTTAAATACCCTTCTCAGTATCCTTGTTGTATTTATTCTTATTACATGGCCAGGGCTTTGTAATTCTTTCATTCGTAACTTTAAGAAATTTCTGGTTCCACCTCCCCCTCAAGCAGTTTGGTTTTAATTTAACATTTATATTCCAACTTCCTCTGAAGAAATGTAATTCTGATTTGTTTCCCTGTCAGTTCTCACAAATTTTGTATCCTTTGCCTAGGTCTTGCTTTTGTTTTTGTTGCTACTCTGTGGTAATATTAAATGTAGTGCCCCGTAAATTCACAGATGTATTTGTAATCGTGATTTTTTTTATTTATTTGCGAACAGTTCGGATATAAACAGTTTATTGATATTTGTTGTAGGCACAAAGTGATGATGATGACGTTGGCCCTGACGATGTTGCTGTCACGGTGGAGGGAGGGTTCATGGACGAGTTCTTCGCTGAGGTAAATGTAGCTTAATCTGAAGAGTACTTTCTTCTGGGATATAACACTGTATAGTCTGGTAAAAGTCAACTGACGTTTTTGGAGGATCACATCACCTCCATTTTGTAGGTCGAAGAATAAGACAAGCAAGATAACCAACATGGAAGTGGGTGGCTAGCAGACCACTGGCTTTTCAATGGACTACATGGTGTTATGTCCCAGAAGATAGTACTCTTCACAACCACAGATGTGAGAACATCAAGTCCTACATAGCATAATTTGGTTGCACGTGTGTTGATTTCTGAGATTCATAACCATCCACAGATTGAAAGGGGCAATTGTACAACTGGGTGATGAAGTGCAGCAGTAGGCGGTTTCTTCACCACCTTTCACCTGTAACAGAATCGCCAATAAATATTTCTGTGGGAGGAATTTAACACTAACTGCGAAAAGCTAAAAGTTAGCAGAATAAATTTCACACAGATGCACCAGGTGCTGTGTTTTATTGATCAGCACTGCTGCCTTGCATTTGGAAGATCCCAGGCCTAAATCTCAAGTCCAAGACTGATTTTCCTGCTTGAAATATCAGTTAGTTTTCTGCAATTTTCCTGACAGATGTTAGTATAATACACCATAAAATTTGCCTCACTTGCCTCCGTCCTAATCTTTTCAGTGTATTAATTGGGTTGGGACTGAAGGAATAAAAGCCTGAATGATAGGTAGCCTTGAATTATGTAACAGGCATAAACCAGTGGCAAATAAAAGCAATAAAATAAAGCTATCTCTGTAACATGCCGTAGAGGCCCATGGGGTTGTGAGATGTCAAGGCCCCTACATTTTCTGGGTAGTCTGCTCAAAAATGGCAGTAAGATTATCAGCCTTACATGCCAGCCACCCTTTACCCCCCTGGAAGATTCCTGGTCCTCATTTCTGTTAGAGGCTGAGTCAACCCCAGGGCCATAGTGCAACTGGAAGCATTAGGTAAATTGAAAAATCCAGTGGCCTCATCAGGAATGAAACCCACGACCATCCAGCATGTATGTAGCATAGTGTCTCAGCCAACTATGCTACCATATGCCCCAGTTTGAAAGTAATTGTTTCCAATAACGTAACTTGTCAAGGAAAATGGACTGGGTAAAATCAGAATGTCTATTTTGTGTGTTTTTAGCATACTTTACTTGTTTTAATCAATATGATTGGTCTGCATGCATGTTTTTGATCTGTTCTTAAAGTTGTGATGGTTGTCTTTTTCATTAACTGCTCTGTGTGTCCTTCCCAACATGAACACACCCACCCCACACAGAAATTATGTTCCATCCTTAAAAACATTAAACTGTAACATTTTGTAGATGTCAGTGTCTTATTTTTATTTATTTTATTTGTAGATGGCTTAACAGTGCTCTCAATATGTTATTGAGTGATTGGAATGAATACTGAATTGGAAAGGGTTTTGAAGGAAATGACCATGGCCTAATTTAAGGTACTGCCTTGAAGAAGTGAGAAAACAAAAAAAAAAAAGTTTTGTTGTCGTTGGTAATATGCCACATAGAATAGGTCCTCCAACACATCTTTCACCAGAACATTTTTCATCACCTGTTTTCAGCATGGGCATTGCCTGTTGGATTACTGGATAGCACCCCATTCTTTTGATCTGTTCAGTGGCTTCAGCTCTGACCCCCACAAAGACAATAACTGTGAAGATGGCAATTGCAATGTTTACTGATATATTTGAAAATTTACCATTATATGTGGCAGATTCCCAAAAGCCGAAGTAATAGATTGCACTCGTAAGTGCTACACACTGTGCTATCAGATTAATTAATTTCAGTGTAACTACATCATCAGCCTTTTCTTTATGACTGTACAGACATTGTATTATATAGGTTTAAAAGTTAATTGGATGTAATCACATTATCTAAGGAGGTAGATGATATGGAGATAACAAAGCAGGCTCTTGAACACATCTGTCCAGTGCTTGGTTGTTTGCCAAGAATCCAGCGAGTCATTCAATAGCTGCTACCATTGGATAGTTGCCAAAGGGAATCTATTGGAAAGTGCTTGGCTCTTCACAAATAGGAGACCAAGCAGACTTTGACGGTCTTCATCTTAACCTCCGTTTAAAATTGCCATAGCTGTAGCGCTCTGGTGTCTTATTTGGAAGGTGTTCAGTTCAAATCTCAGCCTGGGCAATAGCTATCCTGACAGACTTGCGAATTTCCATCCAGGATACAATTTTCATTAGGACAAGACTGCTTCCTTTGAAATTCTTTATAATTTATCAGTCATCATATAATTTAATGCTATATAGTCTAGCTACTGACAGCATCATAGCCCCCCCTCCCTCAAACGACTGCATCTTTTCAGATCCTATCAGATTTGTCATTCATGACTTCCTAAGATTTAATATATTGTAAAAATAGTTCACAAAAATTCATCATCAGTTGTCAGTCATCATCATCAATCTGGTACAACATTACCAATGTTTTGGTCGAAGTTGAAGCCTGCATCTACGAAGTGTAGAAGGGGGATGAAGAAGAGTCGTACAGTTATAGGGAGCAGGAATACCATGCCAAAATCATGCCAATATGAGTAAGGAGAACAGAATAAAGAATATTTGGCCTTCCTTAGGGCCTTTCCTCTTCACCACTCCCATGTCACATTTGTTTAATTTGGTTTGTCTCTGCTTTGTTTTCTGTTCCCCTCACTCTTCTCTTTCAATAGGCCTTTGTTTATATTGTTATTTTCCCCCATGTACTTGCTCTTTAAAGAGGCTAATTGGGGGGGGGCACTGCTGCTGTAATCTGTTTCTGACTTCCCCCTTGCTCCTGTTGTTCATTTGGAACCACATTTCCTGTCCTCCCTCTCACTTTATCAGTAACAATTTTTTCCCATGCTCAGTTTATTCTTCTGCATTGAAAGTGGAGACAGTTCCTTAGGAGTGCCAAACCACACAGTGTCATATCTCAGAACACCATTATTGTATTTGTCACCACCATGAGTGCCTTAAATCTCTTATGATAGAAATCAGCGAACATAGTCATTTGTATTTAGGTGGTCTCAGTTCAAAATCTTGGTCCAGAGACTGGCTATCCTGACTTGCCATTCTTATAACTTTCCTTCAGGCCACTACCACTTCTTTACCAGCCTTTCCAAGTTCCAAGTTCACTGAAGGTCACCAAACTTTCATACAATTCAGTACTAAATGAAAGATGCAGTTATCGGGCAGGTTGGTATAGTGGTATCAGTCTAGACATGTATTTGGGACGTACTCAGTGTGAATCTCAGGTGGGACACTGGTTACCCTGATTGAGGATTTTCGTGGTTTTCCTCTGTCCTTCCAAGAAAGTGCAAGGTTAGCACCTCAATTAAGTTGCAGTCTCTTCCTTCCAAATCCTTTTAAATTCATTATTCACAAATTATCTTGCCATTCTGTGCTACATAGTTTGGGATACTGAGAGTGACACAAAAGGAAACAGATGCAGTTGACACGATGCTGTTAAATGCCTTATGGTCCAGCCTTCCACATTTTGAATATGTTCTGAGACCAGTTACTGATGATCATCATGATGAACCCTTCTGAGGCAGTGGAACAGGGCAGTAAAATGAAGGAAGAGTTCTGTATATGTGAATTATGTTGGAAATTAATTAACACTGTGAATGCTGATATTCTTATGTGTGTTTAAAATTCAGTTTCTCCCTCACAAAAAATAGAAGCTTATCACGAATTGGTTAATGTTGGATTTGAGGTTCTCACAGCAGCGACTATGAAGAGTACTGTTATGTGGAATGTGGTGCTGTGTAGTTTGCAGAAATTCTCTGATACTTTGTAGTAGAAAGGTACTACCTCAAACTTCAGGGTGAAAAAGCAAGCCAAGCAAGCAATAAGTCAGTGAACTACTGGATTGCGTGGGGTCACATTGTGTAGTCACTGTTGTCAGATATAAAGACGGTTTACAAATAGTGTCCTGTGTGTGGTGTCCTGTTTTACAACACTGCATAGTCATGTACTTCTTTACCAGTGTTGTGAAGAAATGTATGAGGGTCATACTGAAAGTCATGCGCAACAATTTTTTGTAAAGTAACATGCTTTATTATTGACAAACCAAATACACCACCTCAATCTTCAGACCTTTCTTTATTTTTCCACATAATAGCCACTTCTTTGTACACATTTCTCCCAGCATTCTGGGAGTTTGAAAATTCCCCTTCTGTAAAATTCTGTTCCAGCTATCCGAAGACGTACTGATGTACTGCTTTCTGCATTGCCTCCCTTGTCTCAAAACGTTGTCCACACAGCTGATCCTTCACAAATCCGAAAAGATGGTAGTCGGAGGGTGCCAGATAAGGGCTATAGGAGGAGTGTGGAAGAACTTCCCACCCCATCTTTGCAATTGCTTCTAATGTGAGGCGAGAAGCATTGTTATGCAGGATGATGATGTTTCGTCCCGGACATTTATTGCGCAATGCACGATGGAGCTTGTGCAGTGTCTGGACATAACGAGCAGCATTGATGGTTGTCCAGGTTCCAGGAATTCGGCCAGAATAAAACCCTCTGCATCCCAGAAGACTGTGCCCATCACCTTCGCAGCTGATGACACTGTCTTTGCCTTCTTTTCTGATGGCGAATACAAATGGTGCCATTCCATACTCTGGCATTTTGTTTCAGGCTTGAAATGGTGAAATCAGCTTTTGTCACCTGTCACAATACAGAGCAAAAAATCATCGCCTTCGTGTTGATATCTCTGCAGCAGTTCAGAGGTGATGGCATTTTGCTGACCTTTGTGGTCTTCGGTCAATAACTGCGGGACCCAACGAGCACAAACTTTCCTATAGCCCAAGCTTTCAGTCATCTCCTGTACTGCACTGTGCCCTATTCCAAATTTTCGGGCTATGGTGTCCACAGTCACACGTCTGTCATCTTGAATGATCTCATCCACTCTTTCGTTATTGCGTTCAGTTGAGGCTGTTCAAGGACGACCGCTCCGAGGCTCATCTTCAGTGCTGGTGTTCCCATCTTTAAAATGTTTCACCCATCTTCAAACACTGCTCACACCCATGCACACTTCCATAAGCACGCTGAAATCTGGTGAATTTCTGCAGCAGGGGTTTCCTCTTTCACAAGAAATTCGATGACAGCATGCTGGCGAAACAACATATCATTGTCGGCCATTTTGTTAGGAGTGATACTGGTCATGTGATGCAAGCTGTTGACGTCACAAGACACTCAAGGTTAACATAACAGCTGGTTCCGCCTACCACCGTACTCTCTTTCGTCTGCTGTTCCCAGGTTGCATGCAAAAAAGAAGTTTCTCGTGACTTTCGGTATGACCTATGTACTATGTGGGATTTGACCTTCTCACAGTAGTGATTATGTAAAGTTGCTTGCTGCTTCTGCGCTGCATGGCTGATTTTTTGAGCCAGAAGATGGAAGCAGTATGTGCCTCTGAAATGTGGGTTGGCTTGCATTGAACTAAATGGCATTGTATCCTGGAAGATAAAGCTCTTGTGGAATATACTGCACGCATATTCAGAGTAGAATTGAGCCTCGTTGGGAAAATGACTGGGTATACAGAAATGAATCCAGAATTATAATACAAATTTTATGTTTTTGGACATTATCCATCTTTTGTCTTTATCTAAAAATCGTCCTGTTTATTTTTGAAAACAACATTTCGGAGACTGAATTCTGTCTCTGTCTTCAGGTAATACCAACTCAGTTGGGCCCCATCAATAGAGCTGGACCCTATCTCTGGAGATTGGGCCCAGCTGAGTAGGTTTTACCTGAAGACAGTGACAGAATCCAGCCTCCAAAACCTTTTGTTTTGAAAAAGAAAGAGGACAGTTTTTAGGTTTAAATAAAGACAAGGTGATGGTAATATCCGAAAACATAATATTTGTACTTATGTACCATTGTCACAAACTTTTAGACCTGGAGGATAGTGATCGCTAGCTTCTACAAAACCAGCCACTTTTCCACTATGGAAACCTCAGATCATAACAGCAAGAACATTTATGTGTTAACATTACTGATTTATGATAAACTTCATTTTGAATATATTTTTTAATTAAGATATTTCTCAAGCGCAAGGTAAGATCAGAAACCATTACAGTGACAGCAGAACTTTTGTGCGTATTTCAAAACTCCCTCCAGCATTGATATACAATGACTACCAGCATTTTTGAAGACCTTGAACTGACATTGTACATCTGCTTGTGCATGTTTATGTGACTGACCCTTCAAACAGTGTGTAGATATTTCATTGCCTTGAGAATCATTCATTCGGCTATTTTGAATATTTTCATTACCGGAAGGTTCCATTTGATGTTATTGAAATTTGATATGGGTCGGCCATGTGTATTCCTTGTATTCTGTTATATATGCATATTAAATGTGTATATCAGGTGAAGGGTAGAAAATGTGTGATTATCAGAATAAGCAGTGATTATTCTATAAGCAGCATCAAGTGATTGGTGTTTGTAATGGAGATGTATCGTATATTTTATGAGGTTTGAACTGAATTTTTAAGTGTTATTTATATGAATTCATGCTTCAAAGGGGTAACCAGTCTTTAACATGTTGCAGGTGGAAGAAATTCGGGAGATGATAGATAAAATACAAGCTAATGTGGAAGAAGTGAAAAAGAAACACAGCGCCATCCTCTCTGCTCCCCAAACCGATGAAAGTGAGTGAAATTAAATTTTTTGCACTGCATGATGTATTTCATAAATGAACATTATTTTAAGAAGTCGTGTACGGATTTCTCTGCTTCTGTGTTAGTGCTGATGCAAATCTGTGGGTTTAGGATGCAGTAGCCTGAGATGTGATACCATGTAATATAGTGCATCGTTACTGGTGGTGTTGTGGGAATCTGGTATCTAGTACCATCTTACTCTCAAAATGGTGGTAGCAGGACACTTCAAAATATTGATATGCATATACTGTACTAGGAAGATCTCTGTATTCTGGGATATATTACCATATCTGGTGAAAGTCAGCCAACATGTTTATCAGCTCCATCTTCAGGGTCAAAGAGTAAGCCAAGCAAGAAGAGTGAAGGAATAAGGGATTTGCTAATTGGCTACTTGCTTGGCTTATTCTTCAGTGCCAGAGTCAGTATATTAGTTGACTTTCAGTGGACTACACAGCATTATATCCAAGAAGATAGACCTCTTTATGTTGACTGCAGTCAGAACCGTAAACCCAACTACATGACATCTTGTCCAACAAGACTCCACTACTGATAGCAGTAGTTTGAAGGGCGCATCATAGGATATTTCTTGGAAAATGGGAACCAATAAAAAATTGTTTTAAAGCAAGTCATTTTGATATTAGCGTATATATTCAGAGGTAATTCTGATAGATATTATATGCCATTTTAAATATGAGATACTTAACTTTTATCATCCAGGAATATGGGATTTAAATCTCTAACCACTGTGGTCGGGAAGCCAGATTTAAGCTTGGAGGTAATGGTATTTGTATCAAAGTAGTGTGACACTAAGTCTGCTGGTTTTTACACCTGTGTTGCCACAGTGATATGATGTACAGATGATAAAGGTTAAAGGCATGTAGAGTTTAATATTTCATTGTGGTACATTTTACCTCTTTTTCTTGGGGTGGGGGCCGGGCGTTACGGAAGTTGAGCATTTGTAGTTAATATTTTTAACATCATCAGTTTATGAACATTGTCAACTAAACTACTAATCCCTGCCTCATGGCTTCGGACTAATTTTTTAGTTATAATATGTGAAAGTGATATAAAATTGATGAGAAATCAAGCGTACTGACTTAATGTAACTGTTCTCTCAGTTTCTCCATGTTTCTTATATTCAGCTGCAGACCTAATAGAGAAAACCTGAAGGTACCATGAAATATAGTCCATACCCTTACCAATAAGTACAATCGCCACTGCTGTTAGAGTGATGAGCAGATGTTACAGAAGAGATTTTAGATACAATTTGAATCTTTGTTCCCAATTTTTTGTTTAATTATGTGAGTAAATTTCAGTATTTCTTAATTTGGGTGTTATTCTGTCTTTCAAAAGTTCTAGCTACTATATGTATAGTATGTTGGTGTCAAGGAAAGCAGCTGCTTCCCATTTGGGTGTGAGACATGTACCATAAATGGTGATAATGCAGTTGATGGACTGTGATGCTATGTTAAAATGTCATTGCCTAAGAATGGAAGTATTATCCACGTTTCTTCATGAATGCTGCAACCATAATCTGAAGTTTCCAATTGTAGGCTGATGGCTTCTAGAGAAACCCTAGTTGTTGAGAAACAAAATGGAAGCAAGAAGGACTGGCTTCTTAGATTAGAAAGTTATACAAGAATGAAGATACTTTGTACAAAAATGCACATGCCACACATACAGTATGAGAAATTCATCGGTGGGGGGATATATGTATGTGTATATATACAGTATATGTAGAATTGAATTATTCAAAGGAACTGTAAGAAGAATTATTGCATGTCTTTTAAGATACATGTAGAGCCAGGAAATTAATAATTGAAGAAAGCAGTCTTCTGGGATTTGGCACCATGTATATGTGGTGTTAACCGACGTTTCGGAGGAACGTATTGCCTCCATCTTCAGGGTAGAAGGAAAAATAAGAAATCTGCAAGCGAAGAGACCGTGAGAACCAGTAAAAGCAGTCTGCAGTCTGAAGATGGAGGCGATACGTTCCTCCGAAACGTCGGTTAACACCACATATACACGGTGCCAAATCCCAGAAGACTGCTTTCTTCATAGTCACCACCGTGAAAGCCTCAAATCTTACAAATTAATAATATTTCAAATTAACCATTGACATTCAGAGAAAATACATATAACTTGAATAGACTAATTGACTGACCAGTGAACTAACCAACTAACTCATCTACCCATTCACGTACCTCTTGGAATTGAGTCTTTCCTGAGCATCTGACAGTTGCTTGGCTACTCATGAAATTTTGTGTATATTTTGGAGTATGAAGGTTCATTACCATATTCACAAGAGCCAACCACTGATCCATATATAAATCATTGTCTTTCCACCCTACTTCATTCAGATGCATTTTAATATTATCCTCCTATTCTGTACATGCTGCAATGTTTTGCTTATGTCATCCTCTGTGATTTGACTGTTGTTGTAATGTGCTGAGGAGTACAAATTAAGATGTTCCTTATTGTGTAATTTTTTCCTGCCTCTTGCTGGTTGGTCCCACCTAGGGCCACATACCCTCAGATCCTACATGGGTCCACGTAGTTGCTTCAGCACCCTGTTTTCAAACACCCAGAATCTCTATGTTCTTACGTTAATGTGAGAGACCAATTGTCATGGCCACACAAAACTACAGGCAAAATTATAGTTTTGTGTAATGTAATGTTTTCATATTAAGATAATAGATGAAAAGACAAAGGATTCTGAACTGAATTGTAGCAAGCATTACCTGAATTTATTCTTCGTGAATGCCATTTTGATTTGTTACTTCTGTTTCCATTTGCTTGAAGTTGCTACATTCTCAGAGGTCCTGTCACCTCCCTTTGTGTCCTGATTTTAATCTACTTTCTGGTGACAAGACATGACTGTATACTTTGTTTTCTCTGTAGTTGCTTCCTTTAGGAGTAAATCAGTATAATTTGCACATTGCACAGTCAATTGGTAAACAGTGCTCAGATATATGACATGTAATTTGATATTTCAAAGAATTAATTTTTTTAAACCATAATTGCCAAACACTTACATGCACATGTTAGTCTTCAACGTACTCACCTCTGGAGTCAGCACATTTTTTCCAATGTTCTGGAAGCATCCTGATGCCTTTTTCAAAAAAGGCTTGTGGTTGGCGGCGTATCCACAATCCGTATGCCTTACAAGTCTGATTTGAGCATTCCGAACAGGTAGAAATTACTTGGGGCCAAATCGGGACTGTAAGGTGGATGTGTCAGAAGGTTCCATTTCGATTTCCGGAGGGTTTCCATCGTTGTTTTGGCGGTATGGTGGCATGCATTGTCTTGAAGGAAGGCTACCCACTTTCCACCTGTCTTCCGTTTGGATCAGATCTTTTCCTTCGCATCTGTTGTCAGAAGGTCTGAGTAATAAGCTGCATTGACTGTTCTGGCATCTGTCAGAAAGTCTACATGGATAACCCCCTGCCAGTCCCAGAAGAACATTGCCATCACTTGCATGATGACTGCTGGGACTCAGGAATGAAGTAGTGCACCCACGTTTCAGTGGTGGTCACTATAGACTTCAAAAATGCATCACCTTTGCCTTCAAACTGCTGTACAAAATGACTGGCAGCTTGCATGTGCACCATTTTGTTCATGTCCGTCAAAGTGCATGGTACCCACCATGCATTCACCTTGCGATAGTGCAGGTGGTATTTCATGATGTCTTCTACACTACCAACACTGATGGACAGCATTTCTCCACGTTCCTTGATAGTGATGCGCCTATTCTCATGTATAAGCACATCTGCACGATCAGTGTTTGGCTAGGTGACAGTTGTTCGCGGCCGACGATCATGCGGTTCATTCTCCATGCCCTTTCTGCCCTCTCTGAAGCACTTACAACACTCAAACACACGGGTCCATGAGAGACACTCTTCCCCATACTGTTGTTGGAGTCTGTGGTGAATTTCAGCGGACGGGACGTTTTCTCCAACGAGGAATTTGATCACAATGCATTGTCCCACGCTCCGCCGTACCTTCTATTCGCTCATCACTCTAGCAACTCCCAGACAGGACTAAGCAGGTTCTAACCCGAACAGGAAGGAGGATTTAGGTTGTGGCTTCACTCTCTCAAGGTCGGACGGCTGCTGCGCAGTGCAGCTTGTTTACACACAAATCAGTCCCGGTCATATTTCAGCCATCTTGTATCTACCAAACTGCACAGTGTCACATTTTAGAAGACAGTAATCTTAATTGAATGATATTTATAATATGGTTATGGTGTGTTTTCTGGAAGGTAGGAACTGTATTTGTATGTATTATTCAGAGGAACCTGATGTCTTCCAGCTGGAAAATGGAAGCATTGTATTTGTTTCAAATATTGGTACCTATCTGCTAACATACACAGCATCCTATACCAGAAGTCAGTATTCATAATGTGCACCACTCTGAGACCCTCAGGTCTTGTACATGTGAAAAGTTTTGTATGTGGATAGCATTAACAAAATAGAAGTCTAGGCTTCTTTATTTATGTTTTGTTACCAGTTTTTTTTTTCAAATGCTGCAGTGGAACATCTATGTTAAGTAGGCATGAATATTCAGTGCAATAGATACTACAGTCGCATAATTGAATTGTAATTCCTAGCATGGGAAGTGTACCAGCATAATCTTATGAACTTCATGCTTGTAGGCATCCCGATTTTGTGTATTATTTTCATCAACTTCATGAGATATCGTATTTAAATTTGTAGCTGATAAGATGCATGAATACTGAAACCTTCAGCATGTAGTCTGGTAGAGGTTCAGGCAGATGATAGTGGTTACTCCTGAGAGAACCCCAGATTCATCATGTTATTTTCGACTTGTCCATAAAAGTAAAGTAAACGTATCCCTGTAACAGGCCGTGGAGGCCCAAAGGGTCGTGAGAAATTGAGGTTCCCACATTTTCTAGACAATCGGCTCATAGATGACAGCAAGGTTGTCAGCCCTACGTGCTGGCCACCCTTTTTTCCCAAGAATATTCCTGG